CTCACACACACACACACACACACACACACACACACACACTCAATGCACGCATGCAGGAAGAAAAAGATAAAAATACCCACCTGACGAACGGCGACTCGATGCGTTTCTCTCTTTTCGCAACGGCACCTTTCATCAAAGACTTCAACGCTGCCTTCCTGCTGTCCATTGTCACTGGCTTTACGTGCCACGCATCCACAGCGAAAAAAAAATGTCAATCCGAACGCCCTTCCCACCCTGCGCCACAGACACCTAAGCCCGCCCCCTACCCCCTCCCTCTCTCCCCTTCCCCTCCCTCTCCTTCCCCTCCCTCTCCTTCTCCAATTCTCCTCTCTTCTCCACTCTCTAACGGATACACGCTGCTCTTCCCCTACCGTAGTTGCCTTTCGACCATCAATCAAATCACGACACTTACTTGTTCCCAGCCTTGCACGTGTGCACCACCCTTCCTTATCACCTACCCACTTATTGCCCGCCCACGCATCAAATCCTTGTCTGTGCTTCACAGCTCAGTGGTCTATCGCCCTGCCAAGTCAGCTTGCCTCCTACCGACTGCTGCGGATTTCTCTTCTTCAATACTAAAAATATCCAATCAACCAATCAAATCACACGTAATAACCTCCCTCCTTCACGAGTCTCTCTTTCTTCTCCCCTTCCGCTTCCACCTCCCCCCTCCCTCTCTCCCTCCCTTTCTCCCTCCCAACCGCAGCTTGTACCATCACACACTTACTTTCTCTCTCTTCTTCCCTTCCTCTCCCTCCTCCCCCCTCCCTTTCTCCTGCCAACCGCTGCTTGTACCATCACACTCACTGGTAATTGCCTCCCCTCCCTCTCTCCCTCCCTCCCTCTCTGCCTCTCCCTCCCTCTCTCCCTCCCTCTCTCCCTCCCTTTCCGCCGAACCGCAGAGCGGGATTACAACCTGTTTCGCCCAAACGGATTTCAAACCTGTTCGTTCTGCCCAAGCAGATTCCGAGCCTGTTTCGCCCAAGCGGATCCCACGGGGCGTGCTCAGCAGACTCACCGACCATACAAGCAAAATAAGAATAAACCTTCCGCTAGACCATGGAAAGATGCACCGCCATAAATTTTGCCGTTTTCGCATTTGGTGAGCGGCGGAGCGAGGCCCCAAACCTGTTTGAGGTTTGGAACAGACTCAACAACACAGGTTCCCAACCCGACGCCCGCGCGCGAGGCTTTCAATTTCGCGTTCCCGCTTTTGCCCCAAAACTGTGTCCAACTGTGGTCTCCGCCTACATGCGCCGTGTAGTTTAGTTTTCTACAACTGTGTGACGCCAAAAGGCGGGAAAAGAAGGTTGAGTGATCTTCTTATTTGATTTCATTCATCTCAAGGAATCGAACTCAGGTTTTCCTTTCAGCAGTTCATGGGTGTGGCACATCCTATTCCTCCTATTGGACAGACTAGATCCTTGCGGCCCTAGACATGTCTCATCTAGTGCCATTAGGAATAGAACTCAGGTCTTCCTTTCAACAGTTCACGGGTGTGCCACATCCTATTCCTCCTATTGGACAGACTAGATCCTTGGGGCCCTAGACATGTCTCTGACAATCCCCCTGCATTCACTGAAGAGGAAAATCCCCGTGTAGTTTACTATCTGAAAAAAAACTCGTAGAAAACTACAACGCCCGTGCCTCTCCTGCCATCCCCAACGTGACCCCAACATGACACCCCAACCGATCACAAAACAGTAGGCTGCTGGCTCCCCTTCCCAAAGGGCGGGTTACCGTCCATTTGTCAGATGATCAACGGTTCGCAGTGATCCCACAGTCACACAGGTAGCAGAAAACTGTACTACATGGCTGCATGTGGGCCGAGACCACAGGTCACAAATTGCACCTCGTTCAATGTCAGCAAGGCTTTCTTCCCGCTTTCGCTTTCTACTCCGTGGGAGGCGCGCTGGTCGGGCGGGGCCTATGCCCCGCGGTCTGGCCCCCCATGCGATCAGAGCTGCCATCGGCTAAACTTTGTATTTTTTTATTTTTTATTTTTTATTTTTTATTTTTTATTTTTTTTTGGGAAAAAGCAAGGAAGTCCATTTTTTATTTTTATTTTTAAATCGAAATCTTTATTACAATCAACTTCAATGGGAGGCCGGGGACCTCACAATTCAACCCAGTGGAACCAGTTCCTGACAGCATCAGTCAGCTTAGCTTCCAAGCTTCAAAGAGGGGTTATACACTAGGCTCAGTTCCGGCCCCAAACGGGCCTCTGTCCTGCGGTCTCTCTCTGAGCAAAAATAAACAACGCCTTCAAGGCCTGCAAAACCTCACAAACCTAAAAGAAAAAATTACGGGAAACCAAAAGGTCGAGCACTTCTCTCATATCTCCCTCTCTTCTATCTCTAGCTTCCTCCCTCGTCACTATCTCTAAATCCTAGTACTTCCCTTTGTTCGACCACCTATCACGGTGGTCGGACCGGCTGGTCCCTCCATTCTGTGACTCCTTCCTCTTCCACGGTCCCTCTGCCTGTCTCCTGCGACCCCTCAAAGTCCCGCCAACCGAGTATCCAGGTTTCGTCCTCTATTCTATTTGCTGTAAAACCAGTCGTCCAGTCTAAGCTGCTCTGCTTCCAACCTTCCCATCTTTCCGTGCTTGGCCCATGTTTCTGCGAAACACCACAGACCCGCCTCCTTATTCCTTGTCTTCCCCACTTTTCTCCTCCAATCTGCCATAATTGACCTTCTCAGTAGTTGAGTGAAGGTCTTCCTAGTTTGCTTATTTGTCCATTCCTTATTTATGAAGCCCCTGTCGTTCCTTTCCTGCCATATGACTGTGCAGGCAACCGCTCTGGCCGTCTGAGCAACATATCCCCATGCTGACCCAATGTTATGCCCTTCCTGGATGCCTCCCAACAGCACCCAGTCCTTCGTCTACTGAAATGTTCCTTCCGTGCACTGATCCCAAAATTTTACCCACCACTTCCAAATTCTACTTGAGGTTGGGCAGTCCCACCACAGGTGTACAGTGGACTTGAAGGCCCATTCGCATCTTACGCACTTCATTTCCACCTTCACCCCATGCTCAGTCAACCATACTGTTGATGGTGTCGCCACCATGGATAGTAGCCATAGAACTGAAGCCTGCCTTTGGTACGGAATCAACTTCAGTTGTTGCCAGCAGTTCTGAAGTGCTGCTTCAATTTGTGTTGGTTCCATGTCCAGCAGCTGTAACCATCTTGTACGAGCCACCACTTCTAGGTGTTTCAGTGGAATCACCATACGATATCCGATCTTTTGTGTGTAGTTCATTAGGCATACATTCTCCCCTCTTTTCCCTTGTGCTCTCCACTTCCACATCCTTCGGTCCGTTCTAAGTGTTGTTATCAATTTGCCCATCGCTAGCAATATCTTGGACCCTCCTTTTCCATTAATTACCCGAACTTGAGAGAGTGCCATGCCTAGTCTTGGTGTGCCTTCAGTTTTGTCTCCAACCCTTTGCCCTCCGGTGTCTGTCTTCCAGCCTTGGAAGATACATTTCCCATCCAGCTGTAGTTTCAGTTGCTCCCACAGTTTCGTTTAATATGAGGCCGAAAATTCCTCACAAACAACCCGAAAAAGTACGATCGTTACAGTACTAGGAACTTTACCCAGCTTCAGTTTGTGGGCCTTACCCCAACAGCACTTGGTGTCTCTCCAACAAAGAACCAAGAAAAGGAAAACAAAACAGAAACGGCCAACCTCAAAAAAGGAAAAACTTACTTAGCTATCCCTAATTCTGACTGTACCTATCCTACATTCTTCTAGCCTATACAGTACTATCTCCGTCTAAACCGACGGAGTGGATCCATTACAGATTTGTACCCACCGCGACTCTCTCATCCCTTACTTTCCCTTCTACCTCCTACTGCGGATGTAGCAACCGAGTGCCCTAGTTGTTCTAGCTGGTTAGCCATGTCAAAAATTGCAAACCCGACCCATTTTCTATTTTAACTAATTTTTCTCCCAATGCCCAGGTTTTCGCAAACCAGGATCAACCCTGGGCTTTTGTCAAACTCTTGCTCACTTTACGTCTCCAGCCTGCCTCAATTGTGCGACGCATTATTGCCTTCAGGGTATATTTCATTTCCTGGTCCCCTATGTCTTCACCTTTGAAGATTCTCTTATTCCTTCCTTGCCAAATAACCCAGATGATGATTGATCGAACTACTTGTGCTACATACCCCCACCCTCGGTCCAGCGGTAGTCTTACCGATACTCCTCCCAAAAGCACCCACTGCCGGTCCCATTGCAAACTGTCACTGGAGATGGAGCGCCAATATTTGGACCACCATTCCCAAATGCGTGCTGACGCCGGGCAGTCCCACCACAGATGTATGGTGGATTCATATGCCCACTGGCATCTGACGCATGTTGTGTCCACCTTGAGGCCTCGATTTGCCAACCAGACCACAGAAGGAGTTGCCAAGATAGAGAGGAGCCAAAGAATGGATGTCGGGCGCTGTGATGGCATTCAACTGACTTAGTATAAGTTGAGTCCAGCAACGGGTTATCGCTCTGATGACCTCTTCTGCATCTACTTAAGTCACCCGCAACCATCTTTCTGTCGCCATGATTTGTGAAGTCTTAGCAGGTTCTTGCATCCTGTATTTCACTTCTGGAGAGTACTTTGTGAGAAGGCAGTCTTCCTTATTGGTTATTTTCCCTCTCCAACTCCACTGTGTTGGGTCTGCTTCAAGTTTAGATATCGGGCGCTGTCGGCGCGAATACCCTGACAAGGGTATCCGCCCTTGTTTTTGCAGGTGACCGGAAGAACGAGTAGAGGTTTAAATTGTACTGTGCAAGACGCGCCTAGGTCTGTTTGGTTACATAGGTAAGTTGCTTGTTTAGAGTGGAGTGGGTGTGGGCGTGCGGAATTAAGGCGTGCGTGTGATTTTTTACTTTGGATAATGCAACCGGCATAGTTGGCCGGCCTGAAACCTTGTTTCTGGGAATAAGAGGCTTGTTCTTAATTGGGACACGTGACCGTTGGTAGGCCTACGTACAGAATGGGGCGTGAGACGGCCACAACACAAAGTGGGCAAGCCTGGGCAGATGCCTAGCAACCGCCGACGCCTAAGTAGAGGGAGGAACAAGGGTTGGGCTAATTCCTAGGTCAGGGGCTGTGTAACACCACTTCTTATAGGATCTGGCACGGACTGGTACTAGGCTGGGGTATAGCCCTATAGGTTACGATATCAGGTTTACATGGCGGCGATGCGGGGATCGAAGCC